CACGCCACCAGGGCGTTGCACTCTCCTATATTAACCCTATATTGAAAGCTTGAACTCTGAAGCCATGAACCCCTTTAGCATCCTCAAACACTCGAAACACGCGAGCGGTACACGCCTACAGCTTTCCACTCCTGGACCCAAACAGAACACAAAAAACTTATGCCACGATCCAAAACCCTTGCTGGTCTAAATGCCGTCCTAAAACCCCTCAGTGCCTGTACACCCTGAAACCTGAACTCCAAACCCCCAAGCACCCAGACCCTCTGAACCCTAAGCCCTCAAGCCCTAAGTACACCATAAACCCTGCACCCTAAAACCCAAAGTACGGCCTCAACCCAAAATCCTATACCCCAAACCCTACAGCACTAAGTACACCCCAAAGGTCCTAGAGCCCCTTCTTGGGAACCCCCCCCGTGGTCCACTGGAACGGCGCCATGAATACCCAGGCCAAACCTGAGCTACTTAGGGTTTAGGATTCAGGGCCTTCAGAATTTGACTCGGGTTCACTTAAAGGGCTCCTTCAAAGGGGTTTTGGTTTGGGGCCTCTACAGTTTCAATAGGGTCTTGGGGGCATAGTAGAGTATAATATATGCAGTAGCATAATTGCAATTACGAGTCGTGAGGAATAGGACAGTAATTTCGCCAGTAAACACCTTACAGGCAGGGCTGCAGGAAGCTTACCCCAAACACCGAGGTTACCTGTATAGTGGATTATCCTATTGAAAACCCTTTAATACCCGTAACACCCACTATTTGGGTAACTGGGCTCTTAGGGTTCACTGGGGTGACCCTACTCGCTGAGTACAGGGGCACCTAGGGTCCCTCACAGGCTGCTTTATTTAGGGGGTTGGCAGGCGATTAGGTTCTCTTTGGGGGGGTTTAAAAGCGGCTATATCGAAAAAATCATGGCTGTAGGCTTCAGGGTTCTTTTTGGAGGATTCAAGGTGTAGTGTTCTTCAGAAGCTTCCGGGCTGTGAGGCCTTGGAACCTTTTGGAGAGCTTAGGGTTGTGGGTTCTTCGTAAGCCTTCAGTAGGGGTTTAGGGTTTAGGGTGTCGGGCATTTCCCCTTCCTTCCTCCAAGATCGCTCATCTGTTGTTGGGCTTACCCCTAGAGTAAGCAATGTACCCCATAAAGGTTAAAGACGGCTATGACCGCATGTCCCTAATCGATAGGTATTTTTACCCCTTTTATTGGTACCTTGGGTAACTACTGGGACTCTAGGTCACTCTACGTAGGTCGGGCTTTCCCTTGACCTTTAAGCCCCGAAGCAACGAGCACCTCCCCTGCCGCCACGCTCCGAGCTCCCATAAACCATAATCTCTCGCCACGGCGCAAGGCCACGCAATCTGCTACTTTGGCACCGATGCCCGGGAGCTCGCCTGGGCATGTTAGAGCTTGCGGGATTCGGGACTCTCTTGCCTGGCTCTTTTTTGGCTTCGGGCTGCAGGTCTGCATTGGGGGCATAAGCCGCAGGCTTAGGGTTCAGGGTGCCCAACAACTCTGGCAGCCGTGGCGCAAAGCTCACGTCGCACAGCCAAGCGCCGCTCCTTCACCGCCTCAGGCCTGGGTCTCAAAACACAGCATTGATTGTAACACGGTCAGCGTGCTGCATGATAAGTGGGGTAGCTTGATGACGATGCTGATAGTGGTGCTCCTCACCAGCACCAGTATCATCATCATAATCATCGTCATCATCTGCAGCAGCCAGAGCATCATCGTGGTGCTAATCACCATCGACGGTGAAGTTGCAATCACAATCACGTAGCTGCAAACTTCTTTTGGACACTGCACAGTCCTGCCCCTGTTGGGCTGGACTGCGTCGTAGATTCAGAGCCCAGCAGACTTGCAACGCAGTATGAGTATGAGTATAAAAGTCTTGTGTTTAGAGTTTAGGGTGTGTAGGGCCTCGAAGCAGACCCTGGTGCCAGGTAGGCCCCATCCAGAGCTCAGGATCGGACTTTTACCAACCTCCCACGCTATCAAGCCCCAACAAACCGGAGACCCAAAGCGATCAACGGAAATCCTTTGAAGTGAAGGAGACGCGCCAGGATACCGAAATGCGGACATCATCCAAACCTTGATGTAGCTAGTGCCATCGAACCGCGCCACCAGAAGGCGCTGCTTCAGGACTTCCCTGAAAGAACCTAAATGACCCCACACCGTCCCACAAATTGACTCAAGATTTCCTACATATGGGCTTTCTGCAATCATCTGCGTCCTGGGGTCAAGAAAGGCCAGCCCCAACAAATTTCGCCACCAAAGCACAGATTAAGGTGAGAGCTTCTGGGAAAGATTCTACTAGGACTCAGAGAGCCCAATACCCCTTAATCAAGGAATATACCTTAAATTGTAGTGGCCTTAATATTTGGTTTAAGGTATATTCCTTAATTAAGGGGTATTGGGCTCTCCGGGAAGTTCTATAAGTTATAGGGTTTAGGGCTTAGGGGTCCATAAGAGCCTAGGGACTCGAACCGGGGAGCCTCTGGTAAAGACAACAAACGGCACTCCGAAACCCCAAAACCCTAAACCCTACACCCTAAACCCTAAACCCTAAACCCTAAAAACCTAAACCCTAAACCCTAAACCGGCCCAGTTGCTCTTCCGGCTGGCTGGCATCTACTGGGCTCGCCGACTCAGCCCTCCCGGACAACCGAGAGAAGGGCTGAAGCTTTTGGGGCTTTTTTTGGGTTCAGGGTTTAGGGTTTAGGGTTCAGGGTTTAGGGGTTAAGGTTTTGGGGTTAAGGTTTACGGTTTAGGGTTCAGGGTTGCTTTAAGGTCTGCGGTTGAGGAGTAAGGATGGCTCGTATTGGCTTAGGCTTGAGGGTAAAGCTTGGCAGAGAGTGGCGATTCAAAGCTCGGGTTTAGAGGGACAGGTTTAAGGACTTAGGGTTTAGGGTTTGGGGGATAAACAGATGCTAGAATAAGCCAAAGGTCGGATCCTACGGCTTGTTTGAGCTTTTTCCATGCCCTTAGGCAAAGGGCTTTCAATCAGCAGCTCCATGGTTGAGGGTTTCGCGATATGGCAGGGAGAGGAGATAGACACACACACACAAACACACACAC